ATCAAATCATGCCTGTGTAATGAACCCTCCAATCGTATGGGGGTCCCAGAGTCTTCCAGATTGCTGGCAGATGTGCTGGGAGGGTGGTGCTCTTAGAGAGGCCGTGGAGGCTCCATGTCCCTCCCCACATACTTTGCTGTATGTATCTCTTCCATGTGGCTGTTCCTGACCTATAACCCTTCATAATAAACTGGTAATCTAGTAAGTAAACTGTTTTCCTGAGTTCTGTGAGCCACTCTAACAAATTAACAGAATCGGAGGAGGAAGTCGTGGGAACCTCCAATTTATAGCCAGTAGGTCAGAAGCACAGGTGACACCCTGGACTTGCAATTGGTATGTGAAGTGGTGGCAATCTCATGGGACTAAGCCTGTGGCATCTGATGCTATCTCCAGGTAGAGAGAATTGAGTTAATTTAATTGCTGGGCGGTGTCGGAAATGAGATATTTCTTTTCACCTGTAGAATTGGCAAAGCGAAAAGTTCAATGATAATAGCCACTATTGACAAAGATAAGGTGAAGCAAATAATCCATCCTGCACCAGTGGGGTGTAAATCCAGTGGGTCCCTCATGGTTCTGATCTGTCATCTCTATCTTCTCTGACAGGTAGGCATTCGTTTTACGTGTGAACTAACTAAATACCAGAATTGCCCAAGGTCACACAAGTGAGGGCTTGTTCTTCTCTGTACACTACTGAAAAAGAAGATTCTGTTGATGAAATATTTTGCAATATAGATGATAATGAGTTGGCTAGAGTTATTTTCTGACCTGGGTGATCCCAGATGATTGAGAAACAGAGCAGACCTAAGTTCAGCTCATGGCCTGGAGCAGAGCCCAGCTGATGCCAGCCAATACTGGCCCAACGCTTGTTGAGCCATGCATGTGGGAGTGAGAAATAAATGTGGTCAACTGTATACCAAGAAGGTTGTCTGGTTGTGTGCAGCCAGCAGCCACCTGAGGCCTCGCTTCCCTCACTTTCTTCTCTTTCCTCGCTCACTCTCTTCCTCTATTTCCCTGGCCCTCCGCTCCTGCTACTCCTTCCTCCCTGAGCTTTAGCCTAACTGTCCTTAGGCCTGCTCTTCCCTCAGTTCCCCCAATGTCTGCGTGCTAGGAAAGGGAGGCTATTTATTTCTCCATCCGCTACCTTGTTTCAAAGAAGATTTTGAGGTTGCTTATTTAAATTCTCATAATGCAAAATAAAGAAAAATAGAAGGGGGCTAGCGACAGGAAAATATGTTTAGATCCCCTCTATAGATAATGCGAACCTAGTTCACAAACGGGAACGGTATCTATTTCACGGAGGCGTAACCAGTATTCTGTCTTCTCAGCGTCCCCTGTAAACTGGGTATCCTGAGGTACTATTCCTAAGACCCAATCACTCTTGATTAAGAGGTGACAATGAAGCCGGGAGACCTGCTAGCTGAGCCTGAATGACAGGACAAAGAGTAACCACCTGATCGTTTGCTATTAACAGCTTGCTTTTCCCCCTGCAGATAGTAAACAAACTGATTTGGGCTAGGTGAGACAGTCAAGGGTGGCTTCTTTCCATTGTCATACAATTTCAATTCTTGGTTCCGTAAAGGAAAAATCCGTGAGTTATAACTTAGGAGAGAAGTAGAATCAACAGATAAGCGATATAGTTTTTAAATTGTGACATTTTGTTTTGCAGCTGGAAGTTATTGCTCCCTGCCACTAACTTTTACCCTTTTCCTCCTCCAAGCATAATCCATTGATTTGTTTAATGCATATTTATTGAGAGCCTAATACTATTTATCAGGGGTACCTTGGTGAATAAGACAATCAGACCTTTACGGTGCTTAAAGCGTGGTTGGTGTAGGATGGACTTTGGTGCTTTTGCAGACTATAGAGAAGGCCTTTATGGCTTGAGTGTAGTGGACAAGACAGGAGGGCAGGGGCCAGAGCCGGGTATGCTCGCTTAGGATACACACACACAGAGTACTAGTTTTCTATTGTTGCTATAACAAATTACCACAAATTAGTGGCTTAAAGCAACATACACTTAAGATCTGACAGTTCTACAGGTTAGAATTGTAACATGGGACTCCCTGGACCAAAATCAAAGTGTTCCTTGCAGAGGTTCTGGGGAAGAATTTGTTTCCTTGCCTTTTTCAACTTCTAGACGCTGCCCCCCAGGCTCATGGACCCCTCCTCCATCTTCAAAGCCAGCAACATTGCATCTCCTGGCCATTCTTCCTCAGTCACAGCTCTCTTTCTGACAAGGGCTGGGAAAGATTCTCCAATGTTAAGGACCCCCGTGATTAGATTAGGCACAGCCGGAGAATCTTCCCATCTCGAGGTCCTTAACTTAATCCGATCATCACAATATGTTGTCATGTATAATATCATTCACAGGTTCCAGCGGTTAGGATGTGGCTATCTTGGTGGTGGGGGGCAGTCATTACTCTGCCTAGCACACACACACATGTATAAAGATAGATATATAATAAATTTTAAAATTTATATAGGAGTTTTTCTCAAACATTTGAAATAAAGGAACATAAGCAATAAGACTATACCCCAAAACAGAGGCATAATCGCTTAAAAAGAATAAAGTTTTTTTTGTAGATTATTCATACGTCTCTGATGAGGTATTGCCATTGATATTGAAGAAGAAAGAAATGGAGAAACACAGCTACAGGAGCAAGTTCAGTCAGCTCCGCGTCTAGGGCCTAGGTCCTTGCATGCGTTTCCTTAGGGTTGCTGTAACAGGTTGATAAAAACTGGGTGGCTTTAAAGAACAGAAATTTATTCTCTCACAGTTATGGAGGCTACAAGGCCAAAATCAAGGTGTTGGCAGAAACACGTTGGCAGGGCCATGCTCCCTCTAAAGGCTCTAGGGGAGAACCTTCCTCGCCTCCTCCTAGCTTCTGGTGGTTGTCTTGTCGGCAATCCTTAGCATTCTTTGGCTTGTGGCAACATGACTACATTCTCCCCCTCACATGGCCTTCTTTCCTCTATCTCTCTGTGTGACTCCAAATCTCCCTCCCCTTGTTAGGACACAGTCATTGGCTTTAAGGCCCACCCTTATCTAGTGTGACCTCGTCTTGATCACATCTGCAAAGGCCCTATTTCCAAATAAGGCCACATTCACAGGTGCTGGGGGTTAGGACTTCAATATATCTTTTGAGGGGACGCAGTTCAACCGCAACAGTCAGGCTTCCCAGGAAACAGACTCTGGAATTGAGATTTGCTTGCAGGGGACTTATTTATGGGGTGCTCTGGGGAACTCAGTAAGGGAGTGAGGGAAGCAGGATTAAGCTGGGGCAGAAGTTGAGTTGCGATACAGTAGAAATGGAAGCCTCAACCAATCCCACAGGGAGTTCTGAAGCTGGGATGGCCTTTCAGAGATGTCCAAAATTGAGATAAGTGGCCAGGCTTTTGTATTCCTGTATTAACCAGGCATTGGATGCAGGCTGCCCATGGGGAGGGGGCAAAGCAGCTCCCTTTGGCCAAGGACAATTTCCATAGAGGGGTACGGCCATGAGCCCTCAGCAACTAGCACTCTCCTTAAGTGAATGTCCTGGTCCTGGCGGGGGCACCTGGGTTGCATATCCCAGCATCCACTATATTACGGTTCTTAATAGATCTCAAAAATAAGCAAACTAAACAATATATTATTTTATATAAATTTGTGATGAAGTATTTATATGTGTGTATATATTAGTATATATATATATAGAGAGAGAGAGAGACTTTGAATATTTATATCTAAAAGTAGTAGAGTGACACAACATTTAGCACTGCCCTCACTTCCGGAGGACAGGATAGGGTAGACTCTTGGTTTTTTGGTTCTTGAGCTGGGTCGTGAGTTCATAGTTTTTCATTAGATTATGATTTGTAACTAACATGAATTTCTTGCAATCTTTTGTATGTGTCAAATGTATTTACAAATATAAAAAGGGAAGACAGAAAAGAACTAAGCAAAGGTCATAGAAATTGAAGTAGCTGGAAATTCTGGGGAAAAAAATATAAGTAAAGATATAAAATCCTGAGTCCATTGCTAAAGGAAGCTTTCAGGTGAAGAAAAGCTTCCCCTGAAATTCCCGCATGTTATTCACCTTAATTTACTTGCATAACCATCCTAAAGTTTTGTCATTTTAGCTGGAAGTGTGATTTCTCTTTTGCTCAGTTTTGAACTGATTTGTTCACCGTGGCACTAATTTTTTTTTTAAGTGAAACAGTATTTTGGGTAAGGTTGTTGGAATGGTTAATAGATGTGCTGGTACAATAAAAAAACTCCAGTTAACGTGCAATATTGACAAGTCACATAGATCTCACTATGGTATTTTTAATGGTATATTGAGTGGAGAAAGAAAGTTATTGGATTATGTTTGTATGATTACAGTTTTTACTTTAAAAAAAAGTGTGTGTATGTCGTATATATCGTATAGCTTTATACGTAGAAAAAGAAATGGAAGAATGCACTGCAAATTGCCAGCTGTGATTACTGGGAACAGATGCTTTTTCATTTTACATACTTCTTCTGAAACTAAAAAATAAAATATTAAAACTATATTTTTAACACTTGTTTCAAAACGACTGGTTTTAGTTTTATATGTTCACAGAATTTTCCGTGATATGTGAGCTTAAGTTCTCTTATAAAGTAGGTGGCAGAGTAGAAAGGGCCCTGGGTTTTTAGTGCAGACCCCTTGGTTCCAGAATCAGGCCTACAGCACCACAGTGATTCTTAGACGTTCGTTCATCTTGCAGAGTTCATCTTGCAGAGTTGGTTTCCCCCTCGGAAAAATAGGGGTGCTATTGTGATGTTTGAATGGGATAATGTATGTGAAGGCGCTTTGAAAATGAGAATGCAATATCCAAGCATAATAAATGTTATTGTTCATGTCTCATGGCAATATTGCTTATTAAAGAAATGAAATATTAACTTTTTGGAAAACTGTCAGTTTTTAACGCCAAAGATTTCAGTTTCTTTTAAATTGGTTTGTTCATCATGCCACTACTTATTTATTTTTTTTACCCAGAATTAAACACCTTCTCCACTGAACTTGAAGGAGAGATTAAGTGCAATGTTTTGAGCTACGTTCAAAAGAAGATGAGACAGAAGGAGACAGAACTGTTAAAAATATGTAAGTTTTATTATACAGCCAAATGAAGGATTCAGTGCTGTTGTAATGGTATTCTTAAAAATCTCCAGCTTTATGAAATCCCTTAATTATGGAATTTTCTTTCATTATATTGAACTACTTGCTGATTTCCTCATGAATATCTGATCTGAAACTTAATTTACAAAAATACTGAAAATGAATTTAAAATTAAATGGGAACATTTGTATACTAATATGACACAATATTGTTGATTCACATTTTTTCCATATTAAAGACTATTCTGAAATTTAAGTCTTTTAAATAAATGAGACTGAAATCCAATGTGGTTGTGTCTGAATATGTTATTTGTGAAATAATCAAATATTTCTAGAGACTCTTCTACTCTCCTCCCTTAACCTTTTTTTTTTTAAAGATTTTATTTTTTTCCTTTTTCTCCCCAAAGCCCCCTGGTACATAGTTGTATATTCTTCGTTGTGGGTCCTTCTAGTTGTGGCATGTGGGATGCCGCCTCAGTGTGGTTTGATGAGCAGTGCCATGTCCGCGCCCAGGATTCGAACCAACGAAACACTGGGCCGCCTGCAGCGGAGCACGCGAACGTAACCACTTGGCCATGGGGCCAGCCCCACCTTAACTATTTTTTTTTTTTTATAAGGAATGTGTTTTTTTTTATTTATTTTTTTATTAATGTTATGATAGATTACAACCTTGTGAGATTTCAGTTGTACATTATTGTTAGTCATGTTGTGGGTACACCTCTTCCCCTTTTGTGCCCTCCCCCCACCCCCCCTTTTCCCTGGTAACCACCGATCAGATCTCCTTATCAATATACTAACTTCCACCTATGAGTGGAGTCATATAGAGTTCGTCTTTCTCTGACTGGCTTATTTCGCTTAACATAATAGCCTCGAGGTCCATCCACGTTGCTGTGAATGGGCCAATTTTGTCTTTTTTTATGGCTGAGTAGTATTCCATTGTGTATATATACCACATCTTCTTTATCCAATCATCAGTTTCTGGGCATGTAGGCTGGTTCCACGTCTTGGCTATTGTAAATAATGCTGCGATGAACATAGGGGTGCAACGGACTCTTGAGATTTCTGATATCAGGTTCTTAGGATAGATACCCAGTAATGGGATGGCTGGGTCATAGGGTATTTCTATTTTTAACTTTTTGAGAAATCTCCATACTGTTTTCCATAGTGGCTGTACCAGTTTGCATTCCCACCAACAGTGTATGAGGGTTCCTTTGTCTCCACAACCTCTCCAACATTTGTCGCTTTTGGTTTTGGATGTTTTTGCCAATCTAACGGGTGTAAGGTGATATCTTAGTGTAGTTTTGATTTGCATTTCCCTCATGATTAGCGATGATGAACATCTTTTCATGTGTCTATTGGCCATATTCATATCTTCTTTTGAGAAATGTCTGTTCATGTCCTCTGCCCATTTTTTGATCAGGTTGTTTATTTTTTTGTTGTTAAGCAGTGTGAGTTCTTTATATATTATGGAGATTAACCCTTTGTCGGATAAGTGGCTTGTAAATATTTTTTCCCAATTAGTGAGCTGTTTTTTTGTTTCAATCCTGTTTTCCCTTGCCTTGAAGAAGCTCTTTAGTCTGATGAAGTCCCATTTGTTTATTCTTTCTATTGTTTCCCTCAACTGAGGAGTTATAGTGTCCGAAAAGATTCTTTTGAAACTGATGTCAAAGAGTGTACTGCCTATATTCTCTTCCAGAAGACTTATTGTCTCAGGCCTAATCTTTAGGTCTTTGATCCATTTTGAATTTATTTTGGTGTGTGGTGAAAAAGAATGGTCAATTTTCAATCTTTTGCATGTGGCTGTCCAGTTTTCCCAGCACCATTTGTTGAAGAGACTTTCTTTTCTCCATTGTAGGCCCTCTGCTCCTTTGTCGAAGATTAGCTGTCCATCCACCTTAACCATTTTTTTAACGCTGCCTTCCCTGAGCTAGTTCTTGAGACACAATTTCATAACCACACCTTTTTGGTTGAAATCTCAATTCAGCCATTTACTCTCTCTGTGTCCACAGGAAACTTACTTAAATGTTTTAAGCCTCAGTTTCCTCATCTGTAAAATGGGGGTAAGAGTAGTACCTACCTCATCAGACACTTACTATCTCTCTGCCAATCACTGCTAAACACTTAAGTAAAATTGTCCCATTTTACAGATGTAGAATTTGAACACTTAATAGCTAAACCCACACAAGATCATACAGCTAATAAGAGGTACAATGGGGATGTGGTCCCAGACATACTTGACATCAAAGACCAAAGTTTTACAGTATTACTTCTTTGGAGAGCTATTAATGGTTTCATGTTTGGTTAGTATGGCTCTGCCAGTCTCTGGAACCCCGGTCTATTTGTTAAATTTTAGCACAGAATATTGCTGAATAGGAGTAGACCATCATTATAGGTTCTTGTGGACATTAGAGTTTTCGGTGGGTCATAAATTTTATCCAGAGACAAAGGATTGTTGTTCAATTCCAAAAGTATGTAACCATCTGAATCCCAAAGGGCTTAACTCTGGCACATACCACTTCACTCTGTGAAACCACTGTTTTTTTCTTTTAGTTAATAGAATAGTTAATATTGCTAAAAGGAGGCTGAGGTGACTAGAATAAATGTGTGCATTTTTAATAAAGATTATTCCTGTTAATTGCATGGGTAGTACCCAGACTTTATAAAAACAGGATGGATACCAAAATGAAATGGTTTCAGTTGTCAATGTTCATTGAGTTAAAATAACATACTCAATATTAATTCTAACAACAATGGAAAGTCCATTTCTATGGTACCTATCCTTATTTATTTAAAAAATCAAAAATCAACGATTATTTTTTATTGCCTGTTTAATCTTATGTCACCTACTATGGTGGGTGCTAGAGGCACATATGTGGATTCTTCAAAACCACAACAAACCTGTTAATGGGTATTTCTTACTCTCTCCTCTACCCCACCCCACTCTTTGACAGATTAATTTCTACTTATCCTTAGATCCTAGCTTAAATTCTGCTTCCTTAGAATGATCTTTCAGGGCAGTCTCCTCTCTCCATCTAAATTAGGTCTTTCCCTTTATCCTCTTTCCTTAAACCCTATTTGTTTCTTCTTTGTACTTACTACAATTTTTATCATATACTTAGTTGGATGTTTGCTTAATGTCTGTCTCTCCTGCTAAACTCCTTTCGTCTATTCATTCACTCAACAGGTATGTGTTTATTGCCTACCTACTAAGTGTCAGGTACTCATAGGTGCACATCTTAGGTGAAGACACAATGGTAGACAAGAAAAGCTCACTGTCCTTATGAACTTACAATCTACTGGGCACTTGGACAAAAACCAAATAAACAATTCGAAAGCATTAAGTGTTACAAGGAAAACAAATAAGGGTAAAAGAGTAAGTAGTGACAGGGCAAAGGAGAGGAGGCTGTCTGGGATATTTATGTAGGGTGGTCAGAGAAAACCACTGTAAGGGGAGGACGTGTGAGCAAGAGGCTGATTAACAGAAAGGAGTGAGCCTTGGGGAATCGAGGGTAAGAGTTCCGGGGAGGAGGAGCAGGAAGCAGAACCGCTCTGAGGCCGGAGTGAACCTGACTTATTCCAGGACCTGTAAGAAATGTGGCTGGAATCAAGTGAGCACGTGGGAGGGTGGCTGAGGCTGCTGGAGAGGTCAGGGCAGACAAGCTAGTCTTGGAGGATTTTGTTCTTAATGCGATATAAAGTCCTTGAAGGGTCTGAGCAGAAGAAATGATAGCTAATTTACTTGGGAAAAAAAACCCACTCTAGTTGCTTCGTGAAGAACAAACCCCAAGACAGGCTTCAGGGAGACCAGTTAGGAGGCCACTGCCATATTCTAGGCAAGAAATGGTTGTGATTCGGATGAGGTTGGTAGTAGCAGATGTGGGAAGAAGTGGTCAGTCAAGAGCTGAGGTATGGAGGTAGAGGGAACAAGACTTGCTGAAGAACTGGATGTGGGAATCTAATGGAAAGAAAAGAATCAAGGTTAACTCCTAGCTTTGGGGCCTGATGTAGGGGGTAAATAATGGTGGCTTTAACAGAGATAGGAAGAGAGGAAGAAAGGTATATGTGTGTGTGGTGGGTGTAGAGTTCTCTTTGAAACATATTATGTTTGAGATGTTTATTATTTACATCTGAGTGGAGATGCTGAGTAGGCAGGTAGAGATATACATATAGTCTATGAATAAGAGGCATACACTGTAAGAGAATCAAAAATGTTTATTTGGGGGTCTTAAAAATTGTAATTTGGGAGACACAGATTTGAGTAGAAACTCAAATGTGCTGTAGGGGAGGAAGACATTTCCTCTACCCTCTCTGGGTTTGTCTGGCCAGAGAACAAATTAAATTCACATGAGACAGACTAGCTGGAGAAAATTAAACAAAGCTTTATAACATGTATACATGGGAGAGGTCAGGCAAGCTGAGCAACTCGCCAAAATGGCTGAAGCCCCCAACTTAAATATCATATCCAGCTAAAGACAAAGGAGGATGTTGGGGGCAGGGGTAGTCAGTTACAGGAGGTTACCAGACAAGCACAATAAACAAATACAGATTTTAGTCCTTGCCTTCCCCATTGATTAAGAGTTTCTAGAGATAACATCATCCCCCCTTCTTCTTGGTAGAGAGGGAGATATCTTTACAGATGGAGAGTTCCTTTACAATGTAAATGTCTCTTACAAAGGGTAAGTAAATTCTACTTTTCAGTTGCTTTCCTGTCTGCAAAGTAACCAGCGCCAAATAATCATGCCAAAGAGACATATGTTGGGGTGGCCAATTCCAGGCCCCCACAGTGCCCTGAGGAGAACAAAAGAGGCAAGAGTTTATAAAAGCAAAAAGAGAGAAATTCTGGCAAACCTATGTAGGTTGTTTCGCAAGATTTGTGACTGATCCTGGCAACAACTGTTACTTCTTGACTATATGTGGTTGGTTGCTAAGGCCATCTCTAAGGCAGAAAGTTCTTATCCATGGGAGTCAGTATATTTCTTACTTACACCAGAATGATAGTGGTGAAGCACAGTTCAAAAGTTTACCTTCCACCTGGGTAAAGACGTGCATAAGCCCCACTTCCCTAATGGCATCCCGGCTCCATCTTAGGTGCCCTTGACATGTGTGACTCCATTTTGTAATCACCTTCCACTATATAGACATAATGTTATATTACATAGTATATGAAGAACGGTAACAGCCTTAGGGTTATACCTAATTAATCTGATAAGAGAGTGGAGAAAGAGTGGAGGACTGGGCAAGGAGAGAAGAGGCTTTTAAATTTAGTATTATAAAATTACGACTTTAGCTTCAAGATATGTTGAACTGTTGACCCTTAGAATTATTACCCGTGGGGCCGGCTCCGTGGCCGAGTGGTTAAGTTCGCGCCCTCCGCTGCGGCGGCCCAGGGTTGGGATCCTGGGTGTGGACATGGCACCACTCGTCAGGCCACGTTGAGGCGGTGTCCCACATCCCACAACTAGAAGGACCTGCAACTAAGATATATAACTGTGTGTGTGTGGGGGGGGGGGGCGGGGGTTGGGGAGATAAAGCAGGAAAAAAAAAAAAAAAGATTGGCAACAGTTGCGAGCCCAGGTGCCAATCCTTAAAAAAAAAAAAAAGAATTATTACCCGTAAGCTCCTGCCTTTTAAAAAACTCTCGTCTTGAGTTAGCAGCCCCTACTGGCTAAGAAAAAATTGTAGGTGTCTTAAATGAGCCGAAATCCATGCCAGAAAAGGAAACAAAAACTTTTCATGGGAGGGTGAGAGAATAAATGTGAAGGAATTTATTGCATTACAATTTCTTAAACTTACCTTGTGAGAAGTCCTTTCCAACTTGGCTGAGGTAGTTCTCACATCTCTCCTTGGACTGCAGACTTTTGTGCGCCCTTGCAACTCCACCACCCCGCCCCAACAGAAAACAGAAGTAAAAAAAGACAAATCTCTCTTGTCCTTTAAGGCCCAGTTAAAACATGGACTCACTTCCCCAAACTTATTGTTCACCACGCTGTGAGCCTATAATATATTTTTCATTCATCTTACAGCTCTTATGCCATTGTGTATTATAGTTACTTGACTCCATGAAGTTATTGACCTTGAACTCCAAGACACTGGGAACTATGTTGTTCAGTGCTCAGCGTGGCGGGAGGAGCCGGCATTCACAAGGCTGGCCATAAGCGAGTGCAACCGGAGCGAAGGCGTGTGGTGGGGAAGACATAGAAACACGGGCTGCAAACCTTCATCTGGCAAAGTTGATGGGAACAATGACAGTATATTTAACAGCGATATGTACAGAAGTGTTTAATAAAGGGGTGACAATAAAACCACAGCTCCACGCACACTTCTCATTTGCAAACTTCCCATTTCCTAGCGGCTTCTCTGATCCCAGACCCTCTCGAAACCCGAGCTCCCACCAAGCTGGGTCCGACTGGCCAATCAGAGCGCAGGCTTCCGCGATCGCGAGGACGGCCGCGGCCAATGGGAGACCTGGGCGGTTTGGTGGGGTGAGACGCGCCGCCCTCTGGCGGAATCTTGGGGGCGGGGCGACGCCTTGGGCGGGGCTGAAGCCTGATTGGCACGTGAACGATCAGCCGCCTTGAGAACCGGAACGCGACCCGCGGCGCGAGAGGGGCCGTGGGCGGGGCGGTGAAACTGGAATCAGCCAATAGCCGACGCACTCTGCGCAGACGGAAAGCTAGCTCACCAATGGCGGCACAGATACGGCGCCGTGGGCGGCGGTGAGGCCCCGAACGGTGTAGGAGCAGCGCGTATTAGTGTCGTCCTCACCGTCACGGCCGCGCCTGGATTCATTCATCGTTTTGTTCATTCACGAAGCTAGGGAGGCCTGGTGGAAAGCCATGGAGAGCGCTCTCCCTGCCGCCGGCTTCCTGTACTGGGTGGGCGCGGGCACCGTGGCCTACCTGGCCCTGCGCGTCTCCTGCTCGCTCTTCACGGCCCTTCGGGTCTGGGGTTTGGGGCACGAGGCGGGGGTCGGCACGGGGCTCGGTGAATGGGCAGGTGAGTCGGATCCGGGGCGGCTCGCGGGCTCGGGGCCCGCTTGGCCCCCGCTGGCCACTTGCGGGCCCAGCGCTTGGCCGTCCCCTCCCCAGCTCCCTTCGGGTCCTTCCCAGGCTCCTGCGTCCCGCGTACCCGCTTGGCCCCCTCACGCATCTTCTGGCTTGCTTAGACTTGCCGAGTTTTTAAATCCTAAATACGTTGCTGGCCCAACTCCGCGAAGCTAAAGGGCCGTGGGCGGATGCAGGAGAAATCTGGCCTGAACTCGCTGCGGCTTGTGTCCTTTAAGCCATTCCGGGATCGTGGCCCGGAGGCAGCCTTGGTTCGCCCCTTAGGAGTGTTTTTCAAAGAAAATTTTCCGCTTGCCCTGTGCTAAGCACAGAAGCATGCTGTGGACTTTTGGGGTGAGGATGGAGGAAGAGGACTGGAATTTGAGAAGTCTTTCTGCTCATTGGAATCTTCTCTCTCCACTTACTTGGATTTGGCCTATTTCCTATAATTTACAAAATCGTTTTTTTCTTTTTTTAATCCTCGCTGAACTGTTTTGGCGTCCTAAAGAGTAGCAAGAATTTGCTCCTGCAGAACGGTGAATTCTCATGTTAAAATCAGAAATACTTTTCGCAAAAGGACCTTTGACAGGAAAAAGTCTTCCCACGTAGAGTGAGCTGAATAGAGGACAAGGGTCAGATTGGAGAAGTTGGGAAAATGACCTGCAGGGGAGTTTTGTGCCTGCTTCTTTGCCGCTTCTGCCTTTCTTTGGTTGCTTTTCTTTTGTTTTTCGTTTCTTTTAGCTTGTTTTTTTTTAACCGAATGATATGCTGCGGTCGTTCTCTGGGGTGATGTGAATATCGTGCTGTTTTATGAATATATGTTCGCTTCACGAAACTTTTTAGTGAATTTTGGGGTGGTTAGGGGTTGCTTTCAGTCTAGGCTCAAGTAAGGTACGCAAATAATGTTACTCCATATTCTTCACTTTATTCCTTCAAAATTATTTAAGCAACTCAGTCAGAAAAACATAATAAACGAACCCTTTGGAACAGCAACATAAAGAGAAAACATCTAAGGTAGGAATGGATATCTGAGAGCTCTGTCCGGCATGGGAAAGAACTATTAACATTATAATGCTTATTTTTAAAAATCTTTGACTGTTTTTTGATATTCTTTGAAAAAACAAGTGAAGTGCTCAACTTGATTATAATCGAGATTATGATTTCACAATTGACTTGCCCATATTCTTGGTGGTCAGGTTTGGGAAACTGGCTTGTGGACTTTTGAAATAGTCACATGAGACTCCAGTGCTTTAGGAAATCATGGATCAAGAGGGAGTTTTGTAATTCCTAGGCCAAGACTAATGTTAACTCTTTTTTTACTATCTAAAATTGACCATAGTGGCTAATAATTCATACGGTCCATGTCATCTATATATGAGTCCATGGTAAAAGTCAAGTGTGTGACATTGTCATTTCATAAGTAATATTTATATTGAGAAGATTTGGTCCCAAAGGAAGGATATTGGATAAATTAAGGGAAGTGTTTGAAAGATTTACAGATGAAATTTGAACGAGAACACTGGGAGATAGCAGAGAGGGTCACAGTGTCATGAAGTGAACTATCGTCTATTCAGTTTATCCTGGATTGTTGGAAAAATCTCTCTTTTCAGAGTCCTTGAACAGAAGAAATGATTAAGTTATTTGTAACATTACTTATATGTAGTGGCCTGGATCTTAAAATGCTTCCTTTATGTCTCCAAATTCAGGGAATCTTTGGAAAACAAATTAAGAGTAGTTCCTCTTAGACAGATTCTTTCGTGAACTGAAAGAATTTGAGAAACAAACCAGCGGAGATGATACTTGAATCAGTAGTTGAATTGTAGTTAAAAATAGGTAGATAATTTATTCAACCAAAGTTACGATTTTAGAATTAATTTTGTATGTAAATAGTGCTAATAAGTTTTCTCGCACAGCGTTGCTGTCATCTCGCATCTCTGATCCTGTGGAACCTTCTTTGAATGAATGTTAGTAGCAGGTATCAGGGAGGCGATGCTTACAGATATTCCTTGACTGGTGATGGGGACACAGTCCCGTTAAACCATTGTAAGTTGAAAATATCGTAAATTGAACATGCATTTAATACACCTAAACTACGGAACATCATAGCTTAGTCGAGCCTGCCCTAAATGTGTGACATTAGCCTACACTTGGGCAAAATCATCTAACACAAAGCCTCTTTTATAATAAAATGTATAATATCTTATGTAATTTGTTGAATCCTCTACTGAAAGTGAAAAACAGAATGGTTGTAAGTGTATCAGTTGTTTATCCTCATGATTGGTGGCTGGCTGAGAGCTAGGACTGGCTGACACTGCCCGGCATCTTGAGAGAGGATCATACTGCATATTGCTAGCCCGGGAAAAGATCAAAAGCAAGAATTTGAAGCGGGGTTTCTACTGAATGCGTATCGCTTTTGCACCATCATAAAGTCGAAAAATCAAAAGTCAAACCATCCTAGGTCAGAGACTGTACTTTCTAGTACTAATGTTCATTTAGCATCTCTCTCTCCATAAGGAATTAAATATTTTAAGTATTTTATAGTAATGTGTGTTGCATTGATAGCATATTTTTATTCTCGTTCGTCTTAAGTCTCTTCATGTGAGTATGTTTAATTTCTCAGATTTTAGAATCTGAGGGGCAGGGATGGTTGGGGGTGGGTCCTCATTTTTTGTTTTTTCCCATCGTAACTGGCACATTGACCAGATACAAGCTCTTCTAAACTTAAAAACAAAATCTTGGAAGAAACTTGAAATCCAGGTATGTGTTGCATTCAGTAAAAATATTCCAGACCACAGATTCCTTAGTCTAGGTAGGGTTTTAAGACCATCCAGTGCTTGGCCTAGCCCCTAATTTATTTCTTTCATCTCCTGATCTAGAGCCAGGCCGGCTTTTTCCCTGGTTCCCTCCAGTAACATTCCCCCTCAAGTGAATTTCGCTGAGTTCCCTAGGTCCCTAGCAGATGGGGTCAGCCAGTTTAGGAGGTCAGCCTCTTTTGCCTGCATTGTTAGAAATACTTCCTGTACTTCTTAGGAGTACAAAGGGAACCTGTGAAAGGGGAGCTTCAGTTGTTTGAAGGTCACTGTGTAGCAAGTAATCGGAAGAACTTTGCTAACAAAGGTGGTCAGTTTGTCGTGAACAAAGGAGAGAATATTTTCATCCTCCTTAAAAGAAATTCCTGTTACCAGTTAGCTGTTACATCCCAACTCCCACCCCCTCGAGCCGTAGTCCACCACTGATCTACTTTCTGTCTATGTAGGTTTGCCTCTGCTGGATAGTTCATATAAATGGAGTTATACAATGTGAAGTATTTGTGACTGGCTTCTTTCATTTAGCACAGAGTTTTCAAGGTTCATCCCTGGGGTGTCCTATTTCAGTGCTTCCTTCTTTTTATTGCTGAATAAAATTCCATTCTCCGGAGTGAGTTTAGATTTTGCAAAGGGTCTTCACCTCTGCGTTTTGCCCTTTGCACGTCTGAATTAGCAGATCCCTAAAACTTTGCAGCCTTGGCTGCTGATGGGGCTCATTTGGCCCTGTAGTATTCCAGGGTTTTCCTCATTCAGTGGACAGTGAGGACTTACAAAGGGCATGTTGTGCTAGGGCTTTCATGTAGGAAAGCCATTTGTCAAAACTGGCTTTGCTTAGCCCAGTTCTAAGAATCAAAGGACTCTCTCAAAGTCAGGTGTGGTGCACAATTTCTGTTTTTACCTTGGATAACTACCCAGGATTGGTCTAGTTACCTCAAATGGTTGAAGGCTACTCAAGTAACCAGGGCCTTTTTTTTGGAGGAAGACTCTCCCTGAACTAACTTCTGTTGTCAACCTTCCTCTTTTTTTCCTTGAGGAAGATTAGGCCTGAGCTAACATCTGAGCCAATCTACCTCTATTTTGTATGTGGGATGCCTCCACAGCATGGCTGATGAGTGGTGTAGGTCCACGCCCAGGAGCTGAACCTGCGAACCTGGACCGCCCAAGTGGAGCGCACAGAATCTTAACCACTCAGCCATGGGGCTGGCCTCAGTAGGTGCCTTTTCTTTAACTAGGCTTCGAGGTATCATATGATTTGAGGAATCACGTATGAAATGTTGATTATTTAAATTGGTAAGCCAAGAAGAAATGTTAGTAACTACCATTTACTGAATGCTTGAAGTGTTCCAGTTGCTTGCTATGGATTAGTTTTAATCTCTCTTTGAGCTGTGCTCCATTATCCCCAGGGTACAGAGGAGGAAATGGAGGCTAAGGTAAATGTCTGTCCTTGTCTGCAATTTTATAGCTGGTGAGTTACAGAATCAGGACTTGAAGTCAAGTTGTCCATTCTGTAGCATCCCCATGCTTGTGTGTGTTGGTGATTGGCTTACAGACTGCGTGGTCCTTTATACCCTAGGAACTTTATTGCTTTTGGATTGAAGGCACTCTTTCAAATTTGCACATGCGTGGTATTTCTGGAAGCCTTGCAGAATAGGTGGCACATTTTAGAATCAGGTAGCTCGGGATTTTCTTCAGATTTGCAACCGTGAATCTTGTTCCATGAGAAAACACTGGAAAGGCACACGGGTGCTTCCTGTTAAAAGCAAAGGGGCTGACTGTCATCGATGTGGCTGGGTCTGACCTTGAATGCTGTTTTGTGTTTATCACTCTGGCATTCTCAAATGGGTTCAGTGCCTCTGGAGGCCTAGCTTGGTAAATGTAATACGCTCCCTGTTGACATTTGGGGAACTCTGAGATGCGGGTGTGGCTGCCTGTTCTCACTGCTGAGCTGATGGTGATCACAGTAGTGCTGTGTTTTAAAAAAAAGCTGTGTTTTTTTTTTTTTAAGAAAAGCAGGGCAGGTGGAGGAGGGCAGAGAAACAAATGAACTTAGTCATAAAAGTTCTTGAAGCTTTTTATTTGTTCTGCATTTCAGCTCCAAAAAGGGAGTCCATGCACCTAGATAGAAGAAGTCTCCAGATCGGGGTGA